ACGGGGATTCGAACCCTCGACCCTCAGATTGCGAGTCGAACGCCATAACCACTTGGCCATGCCGGGGCAATTTACAAAGTGAAAACGATGACTGTGAAGCGGTGATTCCGTCCATTAATCTAAAATAAACCATATAGACAGAAATTAGGTTTAAACACATCTCAACATTATCTGCGTATATACTCTTCTAATGACATTTTCAACTGATTTTTAATAATTAAAAAATATTTACCCATGTATGGTAGACTGATAACAACAGGATATTTAGATATTTCAAATATACACGGTGTCCTAACACTTCGCGCAATTAGATAATTACGAAGTATTCCATGGATGACAAAATTGGGAAAACATTTTTACTCAAAGACTCTTTTATATTATTAAATTCTTTATACAAAACTTCCTACGTATTAGATATTCTACAAGCGTGATAAAACAGTATTATGACTAAATTTTCTTTGAACATATTTGGAATACAACTTGCAAAAGTGAAGTACAAGTCTATAAGTGTCTTTTCATGGTACACTTCATATTTGCAGTGACCACTATCATTAATTATTGAAGTGCCCAAAAATGAAGGTTTATGGTCTTCCTGACGTTTCACATTAAGCTTTATGCTCTTATGTGTACTGTTCAAATATTGAAGAAATTGGGAGGCTTGTTCAGAGTTTTCAAAGATGATAAATGTTTTTTAAATATACATACGATAGTTAAGTTAAATCCTTGGCGTACCTTTCGAACCCTTGTTTTAAAGTGGAACAAGCGGATGAGAATGTTGACCCATTTCCCCTGGATGGGATGCTAGTCCATCGCAAGTTAATCTTCAGTTCACAGCTGATACCCATTGTCAAGGATGGCGCCAATCTTCAGCCCCTAGCAGCACTGTTGATCTGATTATAAAATTTTCCATTTAGAAGAAAGTGAGATCCTTTAATAGCAAAGTTCAATAGTCTTAGAAATAGAGAGATGAAAAGCCGATCGACCATTTGCAATAATTTCAAACATGCTATCCGTGTAGTTGTCAGCACAAGTCGGGTTCATTAGTAAATGCTGGCCAATCGTTGATTCACATTTTGGTGGTAGAACTTTTGTTTTACAGAAGTGACGTAGTAAATTCTTTACCTTCACACTCTTAGTTCTTATGGATGTGGGTACATGTTATTTAATTATATACTGCAATCTTTGTGAAGCCACCTTTTATTAAAACGCATAAGCCTATCCTTTGTCGCCAAAAAGAATTCCTATACACTTCACACATCCTTCAGTGGGTCTGTGACATTTCCTGATTGGCTAAAGGACACGCCAAAAAGTGATTGCTTTACCGGCTTACGTTGATCTGACTTATTTTATAAGCTGTACTATTTCCTATAGAACATTTTCCAGGTGGTTCTGCTATGATTAGTGTCTGGCGAAAAGCTTCAGTAGATATTCCCTTTCCAACATCTCAACCAATAATTGGTCCAGTTATCAACGCTATTTTCAAGTTTTGAACAATTCGACTTTCAAGATCTACATATCTACATGTGCCAATGTTTCCGTTTATCAACGTTATATTTTCAGATTTGTGCAAGAACTCAACTAACAGATGTTTCTGTATATCAAAGCTATCTTCATGTTGTGTACAACGAAAAACCTTTTTAAGATAATATTATGGTTATATGTTTTAAAGTTTTTATGCGCGAAGAAAATGTTATTATATTGCATTAACCTGAATAATTAAAAACCCGAAAAGTGTTATTAATATCATCAAGGGATACTTAAGTATGCTTCAGTTTCTTATTGTTATTATATGATAGAATCCTTCGTGCTAAAAATCCATAAATTGTTATTAGTATCTTCATAGCACATTAAAGCGCTTCAACTTTCTAGTGCTTTTGAATGACATTACCTCCGTGAAGTAAAAAAAAATATTAGTACTTTAACGCAAATTGAAATGTAGTCTAGCTTATTATTGTGATTAGATGACATTTTTCTTAGTAACTAATATTGAAAGTAGTTCTAAGCATATTCTACGCGTATTTAATTTTGTTTCAACTTTCAGACTCATAATATTATATTAACCTTCGTTTTACAATTATTCTCTATTTGACGGTATAAATGTGAAACATTAAATTCTTGTTTTTACAATGATTTTGTAGTAAATACTTTTTGTAGTATGGACGAGTAAAACAATTAAGAACTCTATGATTGACAAGCTACGTGGTTAGACTGTAGGGTTATGTGGATTTTCATATGCAATTTAGATATATTTATAACGTAAAAGTATGAAGAATAACGACAGAAAAGGCATTCAGTACCAAAAAAATGTGTGCTTATGATGTAAAAGTGTAGAACGCTATCTAAATAATAATAATAATCTCTATCTAAATAATACAAATAATAATAATAATATATATATATATATATACACACTTAAAGTGTGAAATGTTTCGCTTTAATATCTATAAATGCAAGAAAATATACGTTTACAAGGTTAAAATGAATACTAAAAGAATAAACATTTACAAATTGGTAAAGGGTATATAAAATACACATATGAACTATGAAAATGTAGGATCTATGTGTGGAAACGTGCATGTCTATCAAACAAATTTACTACAGAACTAGTAAATAGCGAATTTTTCATCTAGTATTGTGCGATATTAATTCAATATGCTTTCAACTTTGATAACATGTCCTTGTAAAGGGTTTTATAAGTAGTATTTAATCTATTTCAAAGGATTCATTGTACTCCAGTGTTTGAGACTGTATGTTTATCTTGACTGTGCGTGGCGTATTATTGTTAGAGAGCTATAAGTAAAGTTAAGACGCGAAAAATTGATTCTAGATAAAGAAAACAAACAAAAAAAAACATCTCATCAGATCATAAGATAGTGATGTGGAGCTGGTCGATTGTCCAATGGCCGACTACGTATACAACATTAATGAAGTTAACGAAATTTTTTGTCAGTTGAAAAGTTTATAGGTGAAGATTTAAAGTGAAACAGTGCTAGCTGGTTAGAAGAATGTTTATTTTACAGAAAAAATAACGACACCTTTTATATTACATTGCTATGTATATAACATTTTAAAAAGACAATATTCCTTTCGCATATTTCAATAATTTTCTTCTTTTTGTTTTAATTGTCCTAAATCATTGTTTTATCTTAATATTACTAAAAGGAACTTTTTCTTTCAAATATCTTTCTTGCGTGGATAGTTTTGTTGATGATCACATAGCACATATTTGTCCACGAACTATTTTCATTATCAGTACTAAAAGATATCACTACACAGAATGCTGATTTATCCCAAAATAAAAGTGTACATTGTTAAAAAGACGTGATTTTTGTGACAAGGGTTAACATGCTCTGTTTAGCTCTGTATTCCTAGAATGTTAAAGGTTTGTTTGTTTTATAGCAATGCCACATTGGGCTATCTGCTGTATGCACCTAGGGCAATCAAACCCCAGATTTTATCGTTGTCCCACCGTGGGACATGATAAAAGTAATTTTAGGCATAGTATAAGATAGGTTATTGTCCACTTTTACTAAAAACAGTGTGTGTGTTCTCTCGCAAATGGGCTACAATAATGCCTGTTATCACTAAATAATATAGAAATATGTACTTATTAAAAACAGAAAATAATTTTTGTGTTAGCAAATTTCATGCAACTTGATAGGTATTTTAATATAACTTTAAAATCTCTTGTGCATTTTTATCTATTTATTTTTCTTTGGCTACCAAAAAAGAGCTTTCATTACTGATTTGATTCTTCTCCATTGAAATTAATTGCAATAAGATAACAAGTGTGTTCATATTGAATTCAAAAGGATATAGAAAATATATTCACCCAACCACCTAGCAAAGTTCCCAGTTTGGTGGTACCTAATTATTCTTATATTGTATCGGTGTAACACTATAAGAATGTGTTCTGGAGCGCTGACACACCATAATATTCTTACATTGTATCGGTGTAACACTGTAAGAACGTGTTCTGGAGCGTTGACACATCATAATATTCTTACATTGTATCGGTGTAACACTGTAAGTACATGTTCTGGAGCGCTGACACATCATAATATTCTTACATTGTAGCAGTGTAACACAGTAAGTACGTGTTCTGGAGCGCTGACACATCATAATATTCTTACATTGTATCGGTGTAACACTGTAAGAACGTGTTCTGGAGCACTGACACATCATAATATTCTTACATTGTAGTGGTGTAACACTGTAAGTACGTGTTCTGGAGCGCTGACATACCATAATATTCTTACATTGTATTGGTGTAACACTGTAAGTAAGTGTTCTGGAGCGCTGACACATCATAATATTCTTACATTGTATCGATGTAACACTGTAAGAACGTGTTCTGGAGCGTTGACACATCATAATATTCTTACATTGTAGTGGCGTAACACTGTAAGTACATGTTCTGGAGCGCTGACACATCATAATATTCTTACATTGTAGCGGTGTAACACTGTAAGTACGTGTTCTGGAGCGCTGACACATCATAATATTCTTACATTGTAGCGGTGTAACACTGTACGTACGTGTTCTGGAGCGCTGACACATCATAATATTCTTACATTGTAGCGGTGTAACACTGTAAGTACGTGTTCTGGAGCGCTGACACATCATAATATTCTTACATTGACAGTGTTACACCACTAAAGTACGTGTTCTGGAGCGCTGACATACCATAATATTCTTACATTGTATCGGTGTAACACTGTAAGTAAGTGTTCTGGAGCACTGACACATCATAAGTTACTAACAATCCAAGTATATTTTTTGGCAATGAAGTAGTACTGTGTTGAGAAACAGGGATACTGATGTATAAATAATCACTCGGACGGTCGTTAATAAAAATTGATCTAGGAGTATAAGCATTATTCTAAAAGTAGGTAAATATACAACACCATGTAAAGTAATTCAAAATAAAGCTTAAATACATAATAACGAAACAATACCAAATTTAGTTATTTTATTAATATTATTCCATTATCGTGGATTTAACATTTACTTTAAATTAGCATTATTATTATCTTTATTAGAATTTTTGAAGTTAAACTGGATCAAATAGCTTAAAACTTACTGATTATTCAGTAGATTAAGTTGAAGCTGTAAGTAAGATAACATGCATGTTTTGACTATTCACCATATTTTAGCGCTTAACCTGACCACCAGATGGTGATGATTTGTCCTGAGTGAACCACTGGTACATTAGTAATCAACATCTTCAAGTTAATTTTATATTTCCCAACTAAATCAACGTATATAATTATACTGTGTGGGTTTACGTTATTCACACATCACTAGCAAATTACTCTATGTTCCATTAGATGATATTCTGTAATCAAAACAAAGTTTCTGTTAATATTTGATATCTTTTCTCCTATGCACTCAATAATTATATTTCACCACTAGAGAGCTGTGTTCTGACGATGATGACCAATTTGAACCACTAAAGATTTTATGTCTTCGGCGCTCTTTACTTTTCGAGGTACTCCAGATTCCGCCAGCATCGCTGTTCGATTATAGGTGGAGCCAATAAAAACCGAATTTTGACGAAGACGACTGTACGTAGAACCCATAAGGATGGAGTTTTGTCGAGGTTGTCCACTAAGAGCTACACGACTTCCTTGTGGCAATTCTCCTTCAAGAATAGGTTCCACCAGGCTCACTCGAGTGGACTTGTACAAAGGACTTCTGTAATCTGGTTGGTATGGTTCCAACATACGAATTTTACCCCACTTGTTGAAGAAGACTAGAATAACTGCAACCCATACGACCAGCACCAGTACAACAATTACAATCTCTTCTTCACGAACCTCGGGCGTTGTTCTTGCTTTTTCCAGAGATCGATTCTTTTCTTTCGCAACGTTCTCTATAAAAATATTTTTAAATAAAAGGTTTTATGAAATAAAGGTTACGTAATTTAATTTTAAGTTGGTTGTAGATCTCTTTATTGAACAATAAATTGAATTTTTCACTTACTCTCTTCGAAACATTTATATTTTATTTACAGTGGTGGAAAAAATTATTACATCACCCAATTTTGTTCACATCTTTCTTGGTTCCTGTAAGTTTTTACGAGATTGTGCACTGTGGAAGTGTCAGAACTAGAGTAAAACGGTTATGAATGTGTGGTGTAAGCTGACTTATATTTCAGTCATCCAAACACATATATGGATCTTTATTAATTAGTAAACCAATCGTGACAAACGTATTGCAACAGTTGATCAACAAATACTTGGCAAATACGAAAATGTTCTCTTAGTAAGAAAATTTAGAGTTAAAGATAGCGCCTCAAATGTAATTGACAAAAAGTGGTCAGAGAGTCTGTTTCTTGTTTTAACATTTTGTTGTGTCTCCTGTGGCCTTGATACCGTCTTGTCTTAACGTTGCCGTGGCATACATTGTACAGGGACTAAATGTAGGCAAGGGTGAGTTCAGGATGCCTCACGCGGATTAGGGCTTCCTGCAGTTCCAAGGTGCTTCTCAGTTTCTTCTCTTGCACTTTGTTACCCATTACCTCCCAGCAATTTTTGATAGGGTTGAAATCCGAGCTGTTGCCTAACCAGTGTAGTGTCTTGATTCTCTCCTTTCGAAAATAGTACTTCATTTGAAGTAATGAAATAAAACCTAAGATGTCTTTTCAATACACGTAGAGTGAACGTTCCTCTTTCTCTCACGTCTACTGCATAGAGTGCACGAATATTACTAACCCTGTTAGTCCTGTGTAATGGAACATTAGTCATCCTGAAATCTGCACTGGTCAGCTCCACTGAAGTGATCCCGAATTGTTGGCGTTAATTGGGACTCAAGGATCTCGTTGTACTTGTGGGGTACCTTTAACAAAATACAGGCGTCCTACACCCTGATCAGAGGTGAATCCATATATCACCTTGTCCGACAGATACTTCACAGTTGCATTCAAACTAGCTGGATGAAACTCTTCTTCACATCGACGCCGTACATTTTTCCCCATCAGACCTGTTCATGTTGAAATTTGATTCGTCTGAGAGACTACTTTGCTCCATATTACTTCAGTCCAGTCAGCATGCTCGTTGGCTCAATTGAGCCTCATTTTCCTCATTTCGATGGAGAGGAGGGGTTTCTTTCTTGAACATCTTGCTGGAAGACTGGCTGAACACAGATGCGAACAGATGGTGCGTGCGGTGACAGTGACCCCTGAAGTTTCCTGCAATGCACTTTTGAGATCTGTGGACGACAGTCGACGATTCTTCAGGCTTACTCATTTCAGAACGTGATCGTCAGATATTGTGGAATTTTTCTTCCTACCCCTTTCCTTCTGCTGCTCCACACAACCAATGTCTTCATATCTCTGCATCCAGCGGCTCACAATAGACTAGTTAAATTTAATTCTTCTTGTAATATGCCTTGTCGAATGTTCTTCTTAGCTAAAAAAAACAATTACTGCTTTTTTGTGGAGTTAACTCACAATCCTTGACCATGGTAACATTACACACACGTTGTAGCAAATAGGCTTCTAAACTGACTCCTAATAAGAACCTCTATTTATAGCCAAAAACCTGCTGATTCGTATCTAGATAGCTTATGAATCTGCTGATGTAATAAGTAGACATTATTGCATCATCGATAAAACATATTTGTACCTACATGCATTAAGGTCTCAAAACAGTCCATGATTCCGAAGAAAAGTGTGAAAAACTTGGGTAATGCAATACATTTTTCCAACACTGTAACTGTTAGCTAGTCCTTTTAATCTTTCAATATTCAACAATATATTATCAAAATTATCTTAATTAATTACTTATGTCAAAGCTTCCTTTTAATTTCGTTTGTTAAAACATAAAACAAAAAGGATTAAGAAGAAATTTTTTGTCATTTATTTGCCTAATTATGATCACATAAAATGAAGCTTTTAACTAAATTGAAACTTTCTGTTTTCTTCCTATAAATTGGAATTATTTCGAGGAGCGTCTCCTTTTATTATTAACCCCAGGATACTGCAAACCATTGGTAAAAAAAAAGAAAACCGTTTATAGCAGACAAGTAGTGTAAAAAAGGGAACTATTTAGTGTACGTATTAGTACTTAACTCATGGCTTCCTAAATTATGGCAGATGATTTTAGTAGTTAGTGAAGAAATTATGAATATCATTCACATTACCAGGATTCGCCACTCGAACTAAAGCTTATTGAATCGCTAATCTAAACACTGTTCCACCTTCTGGAATCAATTTAAATCCTGGAATTAGTTATCTCCGATCATTGATTTCACCTCTGTCAGAAAAATAATTTCTTGGAAGACCAGATGGTCTTCATTACGTCATTCAACTCCTTTTATATATATCACTCATTCGATTACTCCACCATTCCAAACTTGTCCCTGAAGAAGAATGTACCACCACGTAACGAACATAAACTCAATTCAGGTAAGTATACCCTTTTATATCCTAACATAGATATTTTAGATGATTCAATGCTCAGGTACCTACATGAGCACTTAACTTTTATTAATGAACACCCAATCCTTTCAAAATCTATCAGTGGAGCGAAAATAAGCGATGCCATAGCTATGACCACTTCCCTTCCCGAATTTGAAACGACCTGAAACAATCCGATAAGACTGCTGAAAACTGTTCCTCAGAACTTGAAAACACAATAGCACATATCTTCAACCTCAGACCAGACATTAAAATTGATATCTCTAGCATAATCTATAGATATGTGAACAGACATGTTTCCTCTCATTGCAACAGACAAAACAGCATAATAATTAAACAACTCAATAATAAAATACAGCATTTTAATGAATTAACCAAACACCTATGCCAATGTAACCCCTAACTTGCGTTCATTTACCACACAAACCTAATATCATTCACTAATTTTCTGCACGAGATAGACTTCACCTAAACTTTTCTGGTATTTTTACCTTGGCCTCAAACTTCAAATACTATATTTCCGTAGCATTCTCCCACTCTTGTCTTCCTCTTCTAAGTTGCATCAATCATCTCCTATTTCTATTTCTAATAATTCTTCTACCTTCTCTGTCCAAATTCTGCATTTCTACCTATCACAGAAGCTACTAACGTCCCACACAATAATACCTCTATCACTCAATCAACCCAACTAAAAACTCATTCTCTTTTTCATAGTGATCCCCCAAGTTCTTCTTTAGGTTCTGCTAGGAGACTAAACACTAATAATACTACTTTCCCAAATACATCACATTCCACAAATAGCAATATTTGTTCTTCTTATGCTTCTGTTCGTTCTTGTTTACTCACAAACCCTTCTACCCCTTATCTCCCAAACTTCACCAACTCAATATAAGTGTAAACACTGCATGTGCCACACTGCAAACTTCACCAGTCGATCAGTTTCCTGTAGAATTACCTTCATTAGAACACAGTAATCCTTCATATGTTAGCATCAACTCGCACAATGACCAACAATGCACTGTTTATACTTCATCAATATGTAATACACACACTCTGAAGAAGACAGCCACCCCCTCTTCCTTCCCCTAAACTTCCCCATCCTCTATCTCACGATTACAACGACGTCCTCACACCAATATCTGTCAACACTAAAGCTGAACCAAGAGCAACTCACTAAACTACAGCAGAAAACAACTATTTCAGAAACTTATAAAACTCACTGAGAAACGCATAAGACATTATCAACATGCCAAGTCGCTTGTGAATACATAAAAACCAAAACATACCTCAATCTCTCATATTAAAAGCAACAATCACAATAGGAGCACATCATCATAAGTTCTGCAGCAAATGGCAAAAGATCCTTGAAAACATCTCCTTAGAACTCATGAATATCACTAAAATATTCTGTCAATATTCTAGATAAAGAAATTTTCCACTATTATCACCTGTACAATCCTTTGCTGGAAGAAAAAGAAGAACTAAAAAATTTACAAAGAGAACTGACACATTCTTTCTTAAAAAGAATAGCAAAAATCAGTCTCTTAACAATAACAACTATTTGAAAAGCGCTTCTAACAGTATTCTTTCAAGCCATCGTCTTTATAATAAAGAAACTACCATTACATCAAGCAACCTAACAGAAACTATCTAAATTCCATTATCTCACAATAAACAGCTTAAAAAATTGTTTAAAAACACTTCATCCTTTAATACGCATAAGCTTCTCAAACTACATGTAACAAATCTGTTGCAAATAACAGTGACCTCATAAATCGTACAGATAACGATGAACACTCCCCACATATTGTTAATCTTTCAGATATAACTCTCTCTGAAGCAGAACTCAGTCTCCTTAGTAAAGGTCTCAACTTCTGCCCAAATAACAGTTATGTTAATGAGACCCAACTTCTTTCTGACCTGCATGAATTCTCTAGAAAACTAAGACTTCGCGAATTTTTTCACAACAAACTCAACCCTACTGAAAATCAACAAAGAAAAGAAAAGTCTTTATGGACACTTCCACCAAACAGGGAACCACATTTAGATGCTGTAGAAAATGACGTAATACAAACCTTAAAATCTTCCAAACAATGCCATAATAATATTAACCAAAATTAAAGAACTGCTCCAAACAATCTTAAATCGAACAACAATATAATAATAAAGCCAGCACACAAGGGTGGGGCTATTGTTATTCTTAACAAAAATGACTATATCACGGAAGCTAACCGGCAACTAGAAGACACTAATTTCTACAAGAAACTCTCACGTGATCCTATTTAGACCGTAACTGATAACCTTAAAGAACGTCTCCAAAACAATAAAATTAACAAAGAAACCTTTCATTATTTGATACCCAGACAAACCTTTCCTGGCAGATTTTATCTCTTACCAAAAATACACAAACCAAACAGTCCTGGCTGACCCATAATTTCTAACATAAACATGGC